TGTTGGTATATAAGAGTGTAATTTTCACTGGGGACACTCCTTTCATCATCTTAGAGTTATCTGTACATATGTCTACTATGAACATACCACTGTAGTGCATCTCAACTTGTCGGATGGAAAATGCAAAACAGAAGAGGTGAAGATTAGAGCTTGGAATGATATCTTTGGTGAAAATTCTGTAATTACATGCAATATTCATTACTAACTAAATGAATGAGAAGATGCTGGATATTCCATATATATCATGTATTGATTGGGAACAAATTCACGAATGCGTATCTTATGCCTAGTTTCTAAAATATTTTAATTGAATTAAACATCAACATGGAATTTTTCCTCAAAAGTTGTACATTTCAGAAAGATTTTTTGATCATATGCGTGTAATTGTTGAAGCTGACTACTAGTAGTCTGAAATTCATACAGCATTAGTAGCTAATCAATTATTAAGAACATCTTCATCTATTTTGTCAATAAATATTCACGTATGTCATACTGTCAATTTGGTGGGACAGCTTTTGAGAAGCACGACAGAGCCTCCAGAGATCCCAAAAGAGTAGAATTGTTACCATTCAGTCAAACCCTTTTGGAGCTTTCTAGAATGCTGTGATGACATGCTACGGTTGGACGGTAGCATAGATTTCTCCCTTGTGGATTGGCTGAATTATAATGATATTATAGCTAACGCTAATATCTATAAATACCAGTGGTTTTCCGTACATTTTGACTCTTAGCCAACAATCACTTTTCCTGATTCTTCTGTCTCCTGATTTGCAACTATGTGGGTTCTATATGCACGAGTATTGTTAATTGTATATTGTATTATGCGTTAATCAAATAGAGAAATTAACACAATTAAAGTGGAAGTTAAGCTTTATTTAATTGTCTTTTTCACCTGTCAGTATATTTGGATTCGACGGTTTTATTGAAAACCGTAACTTACCCTTTCACTGTGGACGTTTTATGCAACAGTATTCGAGTTTCGAAAATTCGAGCTGATAAAATAACACATTTTAAAAGTTTGCAATCAATTTATTTTAAAAATCCATTAAATTGTACTAACTATTAACCATAATGATATTTTATTCGTGTGAGAGATAAAAGAAAGGAGGGAGAGGGACTGTCATGATCATGGAATAATGGGACCATTCGATTCTTTGAAACCAAAAAGTAAACAGAACACTGTATGTCGTTGTTTCTTTTTTGTATGGAAACATTGCAAACAACAGTAGTTATGCCATAGATTAAATATTGAAAGAAAAACAGATTTCTCAAGATTATTAATTATCATTACTTCATTTAAATACGATGACACAATATTTGGAAATAAACTAGAACAAGACAAGAATTTATCAGTAGTATCATTCAATATATTCATTGTGGAATATTAGTACGAAAAAATAAAGGAGAAAAAGTAACACAGAATACCTTGATGAGTGATGTTAGCACAAAAGAAGTTATGAGAAATTCAGAATTCACAGGAAAACAAAGAATGGATGTACCTACATCATTGCAGACGATTTTGAGTCATGTCATGCAAAGTCTCTAAGCACCAGTTACGATAATAATCTCGAACCTGGCTAAATTGTATTAATTATTTATAGATTTGAACACAAATATTGGTAGAAGGAGCGCTGAATACATATGCGCCATATAAGTCATTTTATTGTACATGAACTGTGATACTACCTGGATGCCCAGACCGAAGCAGGTGGTTTTCTCAGGGGGACACACACTGAGCCTTCGACCTAAAGGTCTGATCCACAAGGAAGTGGAGCAGTGTTAGGAGATGCTGTCACATGGTAGCCAACGACCAACAAATGGTCCATACGTCATTTGTTCCTTCAGGATACTGGAACCCATGTGCACCAATAGTTTGGAATCAGGATTTTCCAACTCCCCTAGATGGATCTTCTGTATTGACCAACCCGGTTAAAGCGCCGGACATTCGCTTCTCGTCCTCTTAATTTCGTAAACACTCTCGCTGCGAGAAGGCAGTGAGCAGGAATTCCCTGACAGTGGCTGTATGCGCGTGATCATATGAGAACATTTTGAGAGGGAAAGTGGACAATATAATTGAAATCATGAATCAGTCAATGTCAGACCACCATTGAAAACTTGGAAGCACTGGATGACCGTCTCGTTCTAGTAAGGGACTCCTCAGCAGAGCCCGTCCACGATTCCACGGGAGAGATTCAAACCCAGGACCTTCGGGTTCAGAACTGCATCATCTTAGTATTTTAAGCCAACAAGGAAATCTGGTGGAAGATTGATTCTCGTTATATATACAGATGTATATAAACAGCTGATTTCTGTTATCACAGTCGAATAAATTATGTTCTAAAGTTCATACTATCAAACTGTCATGCTACAACACACACATCACACTGTACGATTAAAAGTCAAATGTCATTTTTCTTATTATAAATAAGTAAAATTAAACTTATAAACACGAGATGTAATCCGACTGCTTATCTGCTTGACTAGCCTGTTATATTCACAACACATTCGGGCACAGTCAACCACCAAATAACACTGACATCATTGTCAAGGGTAATGAGTCACGCGGCTGACACAAACACACATAAAAATCGAACAACAGAAGGATGTACAATGACTAATTATGCCAAGGGGTCATACACGTACATATCTGTAGCCACGTAAGTATACACAGACACACAGTGATCTTATTAATATGTTATTTATCTACTGCTGTGGGTATTCCAGAGCAAACGATACCTTTTCTCTGAAACCAACTTGAGAATAAACAACAATTCAGTCCTACAGATAAAAAAACAGTACCAGTTATGATGGGAAAATGATGAGAAAACTAAGGATAAACAAACACAATGGCACACACAAACAAAAGTAATGGACATATTCACAACTTTAATGTGAATGAGTCACTATAATCTATTAGCGATTAAAATGCTAATTAAGGGTGGGCTGATGTGCGAGTGGATGGGTAAGTTGGTGGTAGACAAAGCGATAACTACACTAGTTCACTTTTATAGTTGAAGCCTGTTTCGAACACAAAAAAATGACAATATTGAAAACGCCAACTCTGAATTAATTTATTAAATATTCATAGTTTAAATCATGGACTGATATTTTAGCTAGGCCATCATTGAAACACAAGGAACAAATGAACAACTGTTTCGTCTCAAAAAATTTCTCCCTCAAGATATACTAATTATAGTTACGTGCTAACTAGTAATTAGCTTCAAGATACATTTCCTGAGGTCTTAGTCAGAAGCTGTGATTAGTGAGACAATGATCTACAACAGACAATCGAAAATAGTCGCGTAATATTGCAAATTCATAGGAGTTAAACATGTGCACCATCGGTTGCCGAATCAGCGATCAAGAGGTTATGTACTCACAGCAAAATCTCAAGATTGTGTTAGGTTCTCTGCGATGGGGTCGTGGATGTATTCTGCTGAGGAGTTAGATGCTACGACGAAACGTAAGGAGGAGGTTTTAACTATGAAATGTAATGATAGATAAGCTATCACTGAACTGAAATACAGATCACTATCTCTTTTGTGCAAAATTAAACCGATTTAAATAAATACGCTGTCATCAAATGAGGATCAAGTTGTCCACTTAGTATTGCTGGTAATCTTTCCGTTCTTTTACAAGGTGAGTAAACTCAATTAAGGTGTGATTTGCATTTTAAACCGTAACTTTTACTAAATTTGTATTTATCATTCAGCATTTTGGGATGAATGTGTTCATATTAGACAATTGTGAATAACTCCAAACACTTGAATTGAAAATTACAATCTAATGTATAGCACTCATCCAGTCAATGAACAGAAGGTTGTCCCAAAGCATTAGACATGAAGCATTTAGTGAAATGGAGGACTAAAATAGAGCCTTAAGTATTATGCTTTATTTGTAAGATAATCTTTCAAAGTGTATGAGAAGGGTGATATAATGAAAAGAGGGAAATGGAAGTTTTAGTGGTTGGTTTGTACCTATCATTTTCGCCTACATAAATGATAACTTTAATTTTCTAATAAACTATTCAGTCAAATTTACGGGGTATTAATTGGATATGCGTTCTAAAAGTAGTAACACCTGTGATACCTAACGATAATTTATTCTCAAAAGGATAATGAGATTAATTCATATACATTGAAGTGGTCACGAAACGATCGTCGACCAATAACATATCATTATATTCAATACCTACAAGGGAAGTAGCTTAGCTGGGTAGGTTTTCCGAAGGGATTTCTTTGAGAATACTGTTATATTCCACCCTCAATCTAATGTTGATCTCATGAGCAATAAATTTTTCGGCATCGTAAAGGTTTTTCCGTTGAATATTCAAGATTTTATGTTGTTCTCAATATAAATATTCAGTGACTCCATACTACATATGATAAAGACGACCAGAACATCCATACCTATAAACTTGGCTTAGGCTAACAACAGCCAATGACAAAACACTTGATCTACTCATCCCTGGTCTCCAATCAATCTGTTCTTATGCCAACCACAGTTCCACACATACGTAGGTGATGGCTGGAATTAAATAACAGATATCTTAACTGCTAATAATCCAATCAATTGTCTTTGTGGTTGTGGTAAATACCCTACTACACGCCATTACTCATTCAGTAGTTCTGATGTATGCTATCTATCAATACTTGAAAGATATTTATAATCAAATACATTGTAGTTTAAATAAGTTATTCATTTTCAAGTACCACGTTCACCATCTGTGGATCAATAGAGAGAGTGTACTGTTCGGTAGTGTACTTACTCTTTGACTGGTAGACAAATATCTTTAGTATCATAATCAGTGATAGTTACTGAATGGGCAGAATGGAGTGATTGAGACTTGAAACTTTTTATGGCAGTTTGTTCGCAACTGATATCGTACAACTTTTAATTTAAATCAAACATATATATATATATATATAATTTCAGACAACATTATGATATACTACTACTATCAATAATAATAGTAATAATAATAATGATAATAACATTACTTCTAGAATTTGAAGTCTTTAATTTACTGACAACAGTTGTTGATGATGACGGAGATGAAGAGGTGGCAGTAGCAGCAGAGAATAAAGTAACAGGTATATATGGTCCTGTATTATTTAATCCAATTTTATCTGGTTGACTAATCACATTATCTACTTGTTGTATTGATGGTATATGTACTTCACAAAAATATTCACCAAAACCAGCACGAAAATAATATTCATTTGGTTGAGATTTTTTATCTGGATACAAATGTGTACATGTGTGTACATATATTTTTCAGATGATTAAAGAATGAAAAAGAATGAAATAAAAACATATTAAATTATTTATGATTGAGAATTTAATAAAAAGTTGAGATCATGAGTCAGTTGAAGCTAGACCACCATGGAAAACCTGGAAGCACTAGACGGCCTTTTCGTCCTATTGTGGGACGCCTGGCGCAAGACTGATAGGTCCTGGGCTCGAATCCCGCGAGGCGGGGTCGTGGATACGCACTGCCGAGGAGTCCCACAATAGGACGAAACGGCCGTCCAGTGCTTCCAGGTTTTCCATGGTGGTCTAGCTTCAATTGACTCATGATCTCAACTGTTTAAATTACTACGATCTCCACAAAACCCCTTCTGAATTTAGTAAAAGTTAATTAAGTATTGGCTTGTTCCTACAGCTTCACGAGCATAAGACGTTATAATCTTATTTGACAACAGAACTTAAAACTTTTAGATATTCTGAATGACATCAGTGATTGGTCAAATAATAAGCACATGGTAGTGGCCATGATTTGGCTTCTTTTGTAAAAGAAGGAATATCTATATGTACAGATATTAGTCGGTTCAATTTAGCCATTAAAAGCTTTCTCCTTACTTTCACACCATTGTAACCTACAGTTGAAGACGAGACGAAATGGGTTACAGTGGCTCAGATACGCTTCCCTTAAATCTTGAGTTTCAAAATCATTGTTATACCCTCAGTTTCACCAAGTTATTCCTTCTTTAATCATATACCGAATTTTTACTTGAGCTAATGAAATTTAGGTTAGACTTTTACACAATATCTAATTAACAAACTAAATGACTTGAGGATAAATGCCTCAGGTCTTAGCAAGAATAAAACATTTTCACGATTTCGACTAGAAAAAAAACAGAGAAAAAACAAATACCTGGATCATTATTATTATTATGAAGAGATTCAAAATTTTCATTCCATTCTGATTGATCGTGCTCGTGACTTGTCGGGGAAGTATTTAAATGACCCAAGTGAATTTCAAGCCACCGACCACCATCCAATGGGATGGCTTCATAACTATTTGGCCAAGTGGAATGACTGAAGTCTGTATCGAAACCGACAGGTTGCATAACCATTACATCTGATGTGACATGAAACCATCTAGTGAGTGAAAAAAACGAGACAATAAAGATATTGCTTTTTTAAACAAAATGTATCAATTTTAAGAGAAATGGTAATATGTAAAGTGGTTGAAGATAACCTATGTTAAGCGTTAAACCTTGATTTCATGCTGACATTCACCAGCAAGGTGTATCTGTACTCACGAGGGAATTGATGTTCCTCATGGCATTCTGATTTGTGTTACCTAGTGTCATTTGTAGTCAGAAACGTGAACTATTTGAACCTTGATTGTAATAGGACTAGACGACATAGCAATGGTTTTTACTAAGTGATTATACTAAGTGAAATTTGTTTTCTATCGGAAACAGAAATCATTTTTCTTGAAAAAAAACAAGTAAGAAACAATAAGGAGTTTTGGACAATTCGACAGTGTGATTGTTCAACATTATCCTATATTAAATTTGAAACATTTAAGTTTCGTTATGAATATATTAGTTTCTAGTTACTGATTGAATTTCCCCATACTGGGATGAAACGGCCGCCCAAGATTCCGAGTTTTTAATGATATGGTCCAGCTTTAGGTCAGTTAGTGATTTAAACTATGAAAATAACGATTTACTAGGCTTCAGTGAATAAAAGATTAAAAACTACGGAGTACTGGACATCTGTTTCCTCCTGGTATGAAACATCCACGACCTCACAAGAGATCTAACCCATAACTTTCAGTAATCGAGAAGTGTGTTTAATCTTCATTGAGACCAATGGTTTACATATGAAACTCTGGTGAATTTAAGATATTCCTCCCTCCCAAAAATTACGAAATGACCTAAATACCAAGGTCAACAGAACTACTCACAATTAAAAATAATATTGAAGCATAAACACAAACTACATACCTACAAAAATCAGACTGAATACGACGTACTTATTTTAGAGTCAATCATACAAAAGAACAAGGTTTACAAAAATCTTTAAAAAAAAAAATAAAGATATACGGCTGAGAAAAAGATCGACAACAATTTATTTCAGAGAAAAACAAAACACGGACTGACAGCAAATGGACATATATCTGTCATTCATGCTGTATGATAATGACGGATAAATTAAAGATTGAGTTTTATAGATTAGGAAAGGAATTTTGATAATGTCGTTGTGATATATATATGAGATTAGAAGGATACACACTGTGAAAGTAATAATGAAACTAAGGCTATGAGTAATTTTGATAACAAAGTGATTTTATGATAATAGAAAAGGGTTAAAGAATAAAATAGGAAAGAATGAAGGCAAGGAAATGAAAATAATATATATATACAATACTCATTTATTGACTGACCAATCAATCATTATTATTCTTCTTCCCCATTTTTGCTTTATTTCTGATTACAAATTCAATATAGATGTAGAGTTTTAGAATAAACTAGAAAAAACAAACTATTAACGATCGATAAAATCTAGTGCTTCAATTGAGTTTAGTTTAAAAAGGGATGGTTTTCAGTAATAAAATGATTTTTATTCAAAATTGACGATGGTTTTATTGTGATCAGTTTCGAACAGTTACTGTTTTGAAAAGATTGTCAAAGATTAATATAATACAGTAACTACTGAATACAAGTAGCTCCCAAATGCCCTGGTATGGCCGAAAGTGGGGTGGGCTCGCCCTCCCTCTCGAAATGCTCTCACACGGTCACGCCTATACAACCTCTGCCAGGGAAGTCCTACTCACTGCCTTCTCATGGCAGGGATGTTGTTTACGAAAATGAAAAGCGAATTTTCGGCGCCTTAACCGGATCTCAAACCAATAGTGCACATGGGCTCCAGTATCCTGCGGGAACAAATGGCGTATGAACCAATTATTGGTCACCGGCTACCATGGGACTGCATCTCCTCACGTTGCTCCACTGCCTTGTGGGTTAGACCTTTAGGTCAAAGGCTCGGAGTGTGGCCCCCTAAGAAAACCACCTGCTTTGGTTTGGGCACCCGGGCAGTATCACAGCCCACACACAATTATGATGAACTGTTTATATTTATGGAAAATATTCTTCTTAATGCGATTAACAATCAAATGATCCACATTATTATTATTATTTACTACGCCATTTATTCACTCTCTTTTATTCCTACTCTGTGTATCCTTATTTTTCGACTTATACAGCAGCTCGCCTATGGTGGAAATTCGGCTCTATCTAACGTTCTTGAGTCACTACCTGATTGAAAATTGTATGCTACCACTGAATACGAGTACTGAAGCAATTTTTCTGAAACCACGTGCACCATTCAAACTGTTTTTTTATTTGTGTGGCGCATATGCATTTGGTGCCCTCTTGTACCAACATTTATGTGTTCAAATAAATAAATCAATAAATAAGTTTAAAGGATGTTTTTCCACGTGAATATTGAGAAAAGATGATGACAGTTATTTTAGATGATCAAAATGATACCTGAGAGACAAATATGGGTTAACTCAAGTTGTTGCATCACATTAACATGATGAGATGAAAAGAATGAAATGCACACTAACAAAATTGAAATAGTCACTAAGAGATTGTAGAGATTGTTGGATTTCATTTAAATCATGAACCGATCAATGTCAGATCACCATTGGGAGCATTGAACGGTTGCTTTGTCCTGGTATGGGACGCCTCAGAAGTGCGCATCCATAACCCTACAGACGGGAATTGAACTCAGGATCTACGATCTTGCACCAGGACGCTTAATCTCTAAACCATTGAGTCGGTATACAACAGCGTTGATGTCTAATGAATATCCAATGAAATTCGACAATCTTCACAACCCCTTTTTGACAATTATCACATGCTTAATAGTGACTAGCTTCATGATGAAATTTCCGGAGTTCTAGTGAGCAGCCATGACCAGTGGAGCTAGTCCATGTCGGGTGTAAGGCAATTACCCACCGAAGACAATGGGAGATGATCGCGCGATGTCGGAGATCGATTGAATTTAGACATTGACACCGTTGGATGATGGCTCAGTAGTCTAGAGAGTAAATGTTAGCATTCAAGACCGAAGGTCCTGGGTTCGTAGATGCTCACATCTAAGAAGTCTCATACTAGGACGAAACGACCGTCCAGTACTCCCAGGTTTTCAGTGGTGGTCTAATTTAGATCGGTTTATGATTTCAGTAAAACTGAAACAATCGTGGTGACAAAATGAAAAGGCATTTATGAATGAATACTGCGACTTAAGATATAAAGGAAGACAAAAAGAGACTAAATATAATTGCACTAATGCAACTTATTTGCAATAAATTATCACTTATAAAGCTTGTGTGTATCAGCCTCTTTCGTGCTATATCTATCACACTATGAGTCCTAAATGTTTATCAAAAACAGTTGAAATGTGATATGACTAAAATGAATTAACAACAAAAACGGTAATATACAACACTTTCAATTCAGTTTTCTGTTATTAGCTGATAAAAAAATGAAAAGATAAATTTATTCTCTATTTCATACACAAAATTCATAATACAGTAGATTGCATATTGACCTAACCCTCTACATAACCGAATGTTTCAATGAGACATCATCTAAATTATTTGCAGTTATGTGTATGTTTATGTCCGTGAAATAAACACCGGAAATCTATGCAAAATGAGTGACCATATAAAATATACACTGATCTTAAATTAGCTTTCTTTTGATTGTAAAAAAACATAATTGATAACCACAGGCTAGAATTAGGTCAGTCTCAAAAACTAGACAACTTGATAATATGATATATCATGTTTTCTAAGTTATTTTAGAAAGAATACATGTCGGAAGTGAAACAGTTTTCATCAATCATATAAGATGATCATTGGGCTATACTGCAAACTGATTAAAGTTGCAATTACACTATTGCACGTAGATGCAGTGATTATAAACATTTGTCGACAGACACAGATCTTGGTATCGACGACACTTGATAGAATAGTGTGTACCACTGATTTATCTAATCAGTTAGTTATACGCAACGTAGAATCTGACACGTATATACTTCGGTTTAAGTTACCACACTACATTAGCCCAATCAGATAAAATCATTTCAAGACAAATTCCAGAGTAGTGAAAATAGTAACAATATCAGTAGTAAATAGTATTAGGTATACAAGAAGGAAAAACGGTACATACAGATTTCGAGACTCAGGTTCTAAAGGGAGACAAAGAATGAATACACCAGCTCCATTGAGAACGATTAGCAGTCATGTTATTCAAAGTTTACAACCATTGATTACTATAATTGCGTAGATATCAACCACATAGTTTATACCTACTTACGTGATTCTGCCCTACTGTCAGTGACTTCATGGTCTGATGTCACGTTTTGATTTGGGCAACCTTAGCTTTCTTTCAGACTACTCATACATCAGACAACATCGCCCGTCGAGGAAGTCAGTGGTTGAGCATACGTAAGACACATCCCAAACATCTCAGTTGATAAAGATTGGTAACCTCCTTAAGCGACATGCCATCTTTACCTAATACTCATACTAGGACATAACATCTATTTAGGGCTCCTCTGTTTCACATGGTGCCCAAAATGAAATCAGTCTGTGATGAAGACGACCTTAAGATGAAATCCATTTCGATAAAATCCCTTCAACAGAAAGAACTTTAAAATTCAGTACAGTTGAACATTCAAAAGGTTTGACACTGAATATGGCGAAACTCAAAAGTCATATTCAATAATAAGGAAAAACAAATACATGAGGGCCGACTAAGGTGCATTTCAGATTAGTATATTGTGATAGTCTGTGTACATAGCTGAATGCTTTACCCCTTCCTTGAACTTCCAATTTCAACTTACCACATACATATATTCGCCTACTCTGCTTCTAGGCATACTCGGACTATGGGGGCTAGTGGTCCTATATGGTTCCCCAAACTGAGTAGTGGAACGGGGATCGAGCTTACCAACCAGTAGCTGAGAGTTAAACACCTTAACCAGTGAGCCAGCGCTCAACTTTCAGTTAAAAATTGATGTGTCGACGAAAAATTAACAGATCTTCCTGTTAAGTTTATTTGGAACCCGTGAGATCGGATCGTTAAACAGGCGCGCAAATATATTGATCTAGTACAAGTATTGATCAGCTCGCTTAGATTTTTTATCTAGTACTAATGACCTTCAACTGACCAACAACACGCTAAATGTAAGACAACAGCCGACAGTAATCTTAAGTGACTATTGGTCCAGAATCCAGTTTCCCACGCTTGCTCACTCGTCCGGTAGTCAGAATAGAGAACATCTCAAACTAACAAACAGCTTCTAATGATACGATTCGAATTTATGAATCACCCACACAACAATATAGAGCAAAATCCTGACTACACATCGATAGAACTAAATTACAATGTGGAATAACTGAACCATAGGTTCGTAACAAATTAACAATAACATGCGAAAGGTAAAAGACATAACAACAGCTTATGGGTCAAACGAAAGCTTACAATTAGGGGAATATAAAAGTATGGTTGTTTAAGTATATTACAACAATACTACTACTACCACAAGCGGCGGCCTGCTTGAATATCTGGGCTACCTGTTCCTCCGATCTAGATATTTCATCAAGTTATCTGTTTTGTTGTTTGTTTTAGCACATCATTATGTCTATTGTGCTCACAATCTATTCAGGCGCGTTTATGAAAAGTTTACAACCTTTCGCTAAACGGGATACAAAAAGGTACAATCAGCGACATCATGGTGGCTGGCAATATGCATTGAAACGAATGAACATTAATCAAATGTGGATTACCGAAGTCCAAACATCTAACTGGTCATCATTCAAAATTTATCGTCACAATCGATTAAGATATAAGAAAAGGAAACTTGTTGAAATACTTTATGCTGAGAATTCTATGTTGTACCAAAAATATAATGTTGAATAAAGCTTCTAATAATAAATAATAAAATAAATAAACACTACTACTACTACTACTACTACTACTACTACTAATAATAATAATAATAATAATAATAATAATAATAATAATAATACAAAAATATGAACAATAACTTCAAACAGGACCGTTCCGAAAGTTCAACTTGGCTTAATTTTTATGTTGGTATAGCATAAATATCCTAAACTAAATGAAAATTTATCGTAACACAGTTAGTTAGTAGGCCTTCAAGGTGTCCAACAGCACATTTAGAGATACCGTTGTTAGGGTAGCTAGCCCGATGGTATCACTTTTACGTAGCGCCGTAGATAAAATAAAGCACGCGATTCATTTGTACCCCCTTACCATCCGGTACTCTGTTGCGCTGTTATTGCATTGGAGCATACTGTCAACTGAAACATGTTATTGAAATGTATTATGGAACTCAGACATGAATAATAAATTAATTCCTTTTATTTCCGAAGATTACATGCTTACACACACAAACAAGCACATCTTCACAGACCACCCGCTTAGACATCTTTTAACTTCACTTGAATTATTTGCTTCTTGACATGTCATTCACATACTAGCGGTCGGTAATAATAACAGCTAATAACAGAAAACGCGTTCGCATTTTCTCTCTCACACACAGAGTTCATTTATGTTTCTTTAAAAAGCAACTTCCTACGTAGACAGATAATCTAAGAAGAATGAGAGGGAGTGGGGTCTGGGATCTTGAGATAACAGAAACCATAAATGAATTTCGTTACGAGAAAACTAATATAAAAAAAGGATGCACAGTCCTAATAATGGTAAAGAATAACAAAATGATGAGAGTGGGAAACAAGATAGATTAAAATACATTAGTAACAGAAGTAACGAGGAAAACTGTCAGATAGATAAATAATGCAGTCTAATGGATATATATATATGCTAATTGTTTTTAACCACGTCTGAAAGCGAATTCACTATCGTTTATAACATTCGTGAATTTGTTCCACTTTCTCTCTTCCTCAATTTACCTATGTAAGTAAACGTACACACATGTACACATATACACACAGAGTGGAAAAAAGAAATGGAAACACACGTCACAGTAGTTTAGACTTAATCACGTTTCATTGAGAATTTCTGCTACTTCCTGATTAAATATTTGCACATGTATGTATGTATGTATGCGTGTATGCATACTATTGAATAATTTTTTCATTATAGCTTTAAAAAAAATAAAATGTTCCCATTGTTATCGTTTTGAAATGGCATTCTCACAAGTAATCATTGTTTTCAAACCTAATTGTAAATTAAGACATTCATTCATATGGATAAAACTAACATGACCAAAATCTTAATGCTATGAATAATAATATATGTCAGTATGGAGAAGGGATGCAGAGTTTTCATAGTGTAAATCACGAATTGATCTCAACTAGACCATTATTAAAAAAAAACAAACTTGGGAGCATTGAACAGCTGTTTCATCTTAGCATGGGACTCATCAGAAGTGTAAGTCTGCGATCTCGGTATTTTCGAGCGCAAACACTCAATCTCTAGACGACTGAGCCATAATTTAACAACATACATGTCCAATTACAATTAATACGTGACATTGCGATATATTATGTTCCGATTCTAAGGAATGGGAATTAACAAGCACTATAGATTATTAGGACTTTAATAAAGTAACACACCAATTTGTAAACGGGAATCTGATTTGTGTCCAAATAAAAATTATGTGGTGCACAAAATATGAACAGAAATAGGATCAAATGTGTTCTATTGTAACTTCGCCATTGTATAAAAAAAACAAAAAAAACAAGACACTAGTCTAGAAAATCCATTTCCGAATGACAGGGAATAGCTTTCCTGAAATATTTATCATTAAATTAATCCAACTTATTTCTCATACACTGGTGTTTACGTACACCTCTTTCAATCACACTGTTTGTGTGTGGAAAGAGTAGTGTGATACTACTCACGGCTGCTTAAATCAAACTAGGTATGGTGAGTATTTGAACTTGCTTGGAATGTGAATACTTTAAACGCGAAGATGACGTCACGCTTTCCAATTAAACCACATCTTCAAATTCCTCTTGATGATCAATTATGGTTATAAGTTGTCATATATACGTTGTTCAATAGTGCAAACGCAAGATTACACACGAAATCAAAACTGGAACCTCTTTACCACGTGGTGATCGTAATGTTTGCAGACTATCAATTTCTAATCCGATAGTTACAACTTTTTGATTGAGATCATGAACCGATCTAAGTTGGACAACCACTGGATACCTAGAAGCACTAGACGGACGTCCGGTCATATTATGGGACTCCTCAGCAATCCCCATACACAATACCTTACATCCAAGATCGAAACTAGGATCTGCGATCTTGCTGTAGGCACTTAATCCCTAGACAACTGAGCCACAATCCAATAGTGTATAAATCTAACTTCAACCAACTGTCTTCGATGGGTAACTTCCTCACACCCGACACGATTGAACTTCACTAGTCACGGTTTCCCACTAGAACTCTGGGACTTTCCTCTGGAAACTCATCAACTTTAGTTACCTTGCGGTACAATGTGCTTCTTATTCTATATAGAGTGGTGAGTGATTGTTTCTGGGATGTCACAAACTATAACGAAACACCCATCCAAAGTTTCTTGGTTTTTGTTTACTTGACGTCAGTTCAATATGTAATTTACATTTAAACTATACATGATCTCAACAAAAGCATATGAAACTTAAAAATACAAAATTATCATTTAAAAAACATCATCTGTCGCCCTGAAAATTGCTCGACTACTAGCAAACCACGTGAAAATGTTAAGTCATGTAAGAACAGATAGTAACAACTAATAAACTACATAATTTGTAGGTGATGAATCTCATACTACGACGAAAAAACTGTTTAACGCATTCTAACTCTCAATGGTATCTTAATTAAGATCAAGTTGCGATGAATACTACCTATCTCTACGAAATTATCCTCCACATCGAACCATCAAAATTGTATAACAGTTGACAACTAACCGTATGATTGGTTTAACCGAACTTATTGCTATCAATGGACAGCGAAGAACAACTACTTCTCCTGGATAGAAACTACCTCCGCCAAGGCTAGGATGTTTATTAGTGTCTATCTCCGATATAATAACTGGAGCGGTTGAATACTGTTGAAATTCAGTAATTAACGGTTGATGTGAATTAGAAAGGAGACCATGAGTTGTTGGTAGATTGGGTTCAAGAAAGAGATCTAAAAATGAAAGAAACAGTTTAACAGGAACTTATGTGAAGGTACAAACTAAGACAAAAAAACAAATATGCGAAATAATACATTTTGTTTAAGAGATATAGAACGAAACCACATCCTCGACCAGAACGTTCTGGTCGATCATGTATTGATCATATCTTCACCCTCCGCCAAATGTTAGAACACCGTCATACTTTTCAAAGGCCAACAATCTTAGTGTTTTTCGACATCAGGGCTGCCTTCGATTCGTTGGACAGGACTGTTCTCTGGGATTGTCTATTGAAGAAGGGTGTGCCTGAGAAGTTTACTAACATCCTAAAAGCCCTATATACAAACACCTCAGGCAGAGTAAGGGCATACAACCACCTCTCTCCATTGTTCCATTCGAGCAGTGGGGTTAGGCAGGGTTGCCCAATCTCACCATTCCTCTTCCAATTTGCCATCGATGACATTCTGGAAACAGCTCTGATGGATGTAAGTAATGGTGGTGTGGATCTGTTGCCTGGAGAAAGACTTCTCGGCCTTGAGTATGCGGACGATATTGTCTTACTGTGCGATAATGCCCAAGGCATGCAATCCGCACTTAATCAGTTGGCAATCAGTGTCCGTAGGTATGGTATGTGTTTTGCACCTTCGAAATGCAAAGTACTTCTACAAGACTGGCAGGATCATAATCCTGTACTCACCCTGGATGGTGAGCAGATAGAAATAGTCGAGAAGTTCGTGTATCTGGGTAGCAGCATAAGTGCTGATGGGGGTGTGAGTGATGAGATTAATGCACGTATAGTGAAAGCTAGAGCGGCTTATGCCAATCTGGGCCATCTTTGGCGCCTTCGTGATGTTAGTCTGGCCGTAAAAGGTCGGATCTACAACGCGTCGGTGAGATCAGTTTTGCTCTATGCTAGTGAAACCTGGTCTCTCCGAGTTGAGGACGTTAGACGACTCTCTGTGTTCGATTATCGTTGTCTCCGAAGGATTGCTGACATCCAGTGGCAACACCATGTTAGTAATGCAGAGGTTCGGCATCGTGTGTTCGGGCACAGAGACGATAATTCAATTGGTGTCACCATCTTGAAACACCGACTTCGGTGGCTTGGACATGTTCTATGAATGTCGTCCCAGAGAATTCCACGTCGTGCATTATTTGCCGACTCTGGGACTGGTTGGAGAAAGCGGAGAGGTGGTCAGTGCATGACATGGTGTCGTGGTATGAAAGAAAGCTGCAAAGGACTGGCTTCTGTTGGTCCTTCACGACTCCCTGGTTGGGGTCCGAGAGATGGTACGACACAGTGGCTAGAGACGTTATCAGATATGGCTCAGAATAGAAGCCAGTGGCGATCATGCTGTAACCTTCTTTTACTTTTTTCATAAAACGTGGTTGTACCTTCCTTAACTGAAAGATTTCTTCTGATTGTACCCTTCTGTTCCCCTACTATTACTATTATTATTACACTACCTTACACCAATCTCTTCGTTATTGCTTTTTTTAATATTTTTTTTATGTTCCCCACTTTTTTTCTCCTTAAATTCTCATTGTTTTGTGTGGCGCATATATATTTGGCGCAATGCTGTACCAATATATATGTGTTCAAATAAATAAATAAGAGATATAGACAGAAAAAAGTAGATGGAAGAGAACTAGGACTATTTGACCAAATAGTTGAAAATCCCGAGTGCTTTTCGACGATACTCTAGACTATAAAACATGATAAAAACATAAACATGTAGGAGAACTATGCAATACACTGCTACAGTTGTACATAATTCATCAATAATAGTTGCGTTTACATTACTTACAAGTTAATGGCTCAAAAGTCTAAGTATTACTTGTGTATGTTTGGACCATGAAGTAAGTGGTTTCGAGGCTAGATTTAGAGTACTAGGTAAGGATAACAAATCAGTTAGTTGAACTGTGAATATTTATCAACTGTGTTTGGGACAGGTATTACATATGTCTAATCACCGGCTAGAACGATACGCGATATTGGCTGGTCCAGGAAGTTCGAAGAAAAGTAGGGATGGTCAAACCAAAACGCAACGATAGTTCATGAAGTCATTGATTGTTTAACTGATGAGTAGTCAGATACAGACTATCTGGATGCGATTCACGTGATAACTGTAACAAATGGTTGGAGACATTGGATGAAATGGCTCATAATCTATCATGTATTTACTCTTTGTCCTTTCTTAGATCTTCAGTTATAAAATTGCCTTGTGCTTTTTGTTCCACAATTCATTCTTCCTCAAATCATATTGCCTTGACCAGATATTAAACACCTACAGAAAGACCGAAAGCCATGAATTGGTTCCCAGTCGAAGGGTTATGGATGGGAACTTCTGAGGAGTCCGTAATGTTTTTATTACTATGGATACTGTTACTACTTCTATTGGTGTTAGTCTTCATAAATGTTATCTTGCTATGCTAATATAGTGCAGCAACCTGAACTGATGAATGTATGTGCTAAGACTGACTGACTGACTGAGAGATACAAAAGTAAAAATGGGTTGAGTTATCCATTGATCCTAATTAATCAAGAATGAAAACTGTCCTCAAATCGCTTTATCTTCGTAAATCACCTAAATAATAGAAAAAAATGTGTGCAAATCAAACGAAAACCTCCAAACACACCGAGAATAACGAGATGAGTAGGTCTTACATTACTGCCTTGCATATGTATGTGTGTGTTGAATGCACATCTTACCATCAAAGTATTAATACTACTAATGCTATTAAAGAGTTATGACATTTTGTTCAATTATGTACGAAAAATTATGCTTGCCAATTTCACAAAGGTATGGCTTTCGATGTAACAATGTGTCAAAAACGCATGAGTACAGACATAGCAATAAAGCATTTAAACTTACCAGAAAGACGAATATTTACAGCATGACTAACCAAACTACCTTGACCGGGAACAGAAGCTTTACATCGATAAGAACCTTCAAGCCATGACTTGTAGTGAAGCATTAAAGATTTCGATCGATTAATTTTATCAACTGATGTGGGATGTTTGAGAAGTAGACGACCATCGAGAGTATTAACATTTCTAAATGCAAAAATTATCTACACATAAATTTAGAATTAAGTATGCCCAGGTAAACACATTTATATTGACTATAAGATGAAGATGTGTACGACATATCAACACTTAAAATGTGGTGCTAGCGAATCGCATACATTGAACAATGGGGACTGATGTCATAAAGCATTTACCTTTAAAAATTACGGTACATTTATCTTTTTCTGGCAAAATACTCCCTATTTGTGACAAGACAAGTATTCCACCTCTGTTTACACTATTCGAAATGTATTCTAAGCGGCCCTCGTAATTCAAATTTGAAAGACAACAAATCTAGCAACGATCACTAAAGTATGTATGCATCATTCATGGGTGTTTTCATTAACGCTTAAATCAGCCGTGTTACCGTGACTAAGAGTTGATGGAGAAAGGTGGCTCATTGATTAAAGCGTCCTACTTCTAAATTTTGAACATGCTGGGAGCTCCCGCCACTTTATTTTGGGTATCTGATGATTGTTACGATTACGTTAGTAATAAACAGAAATCCATCGAAGCAAAGATGCTTCAACCTCTGGTTGGAATTCAACCCAAGATTTATTCCATAAACACAAATCATTCTATCAACTCGAAAAGAATATTGTTAGTAAGGTGGAATATTACTTATCGTAGATTAAGAGAAATACAGCATACGTTTAATTTTCTAAAGTACAAATGTATCGAAACGAAGGACTTTTAAAATAGTAACAAACAGAAAACAAATAAATCTTCTTACACAAATGAAGAATTTTCAACAATAACTTCAGATTTTTCAAACAACACATTAGATTCTTTTAAAAAATGAAGACGTCCATTTAAAAAAATCAAATCCAAAGGTGCATGGCGTATTGCTAGCCAGGAATAAGTTGCTTTGGGGTGATCAACTTTGCAAATGAGTTGACTGTGACCACGCCAAGGTATGCAGGAGTCCTTAGGTTCATGTATAAATTTAACATTTGAAGAAATGCCTGTTAAAACTGTTGATAAGGAAAAACAATAATAATAACGAGGATAACATACTCAACTAATCGATAATGTAACAATAATTTAAACTTACATTAAAACAACATACACTACTGATAACGATTCGATTGTACCTAGTGAATATTAACTAATAGGTCTTTGCTACAAAGTCGCTTACTGTTCAATTTATGTACACAAGTTTAGAACTTTTGAGTGGCATCAGAGGCATAACATAGGACAGACCTAACTTAAGTGGCCCAGATTTATTTTCTACCTATCCCTTTTTACATTTTTTGTTATGCACTAATTACTCCTTTTTTCTCAACTTAAATATTGCACTGAACAAAGTATTCCATACTTTGAGAAAATGTAGACAAATCTAACTTGTTGTGATGGACTTCTAAAGATACTATCCAATGCTTTACAGATACTATAAATATACTATATATATAATGACTTTTAACCAGTTACAAAGCACCTCCCGCTTGGTAGTCTTTATTTGATTTCTGATAGTCAATGGTAAAAAAACATGGAGATTCGAAAACTATTGAGACGCCAAATTATTTAACTTCTTAATCAGCCATAGTCAACATAAAGCATGACAGATATAAGCTAGACCAAGTTGTCATACTACATCAGCATGATAAGATGAATATATATTAAGATGAATAGCAAAGCAGTTGGCATAATTATAGCAGCAATGATAATGATCAAGGCTAAATATTGAAAATATGGTTCGAGGAAAAATGAGAAGGCACACATGGAAGTGAAAGTTAAGACCTAGAGGAAAATAGAATGAATGTATTTGTATTAGTGTATCTGTTTCTTAGCCGTTATCTAACTTCTGCAGTCGTTGACCATGGGCATCCCAAACAGAAAGTTTCCAACTAACGTGTGCCATACAGGTAAGGGAAGAAATGAACTTAACAACGAGTTGGGAATGACATTTATCTGAACGGAAGTAAACTATTGTTACCAGTTTTGTCCCATGACACCTAGAGCTTATAACTCTGAATTACGACTCAACCACGAAGTATGTACAATGTTAAGCGGTTGAGATCGATGGTCACGTCTCAAACTGATGGTATGTACTAGCTCACCCACCTAAAACGCTATTTAAATTTATTCGAATGCTAACTATTGTAGACACTTAGTTTAGCAAGGTGACGAGTCAAACTCACCGAGGGGTGAAGTCATCTTGTGAGTGACAATACTGAAGTTTAATGATTGATTCCTTAACTGTGTTAGAATGAAATACTAGAAGACTATCAGTTAACTTTTAAGTTATCCAGTGACACCAGAATATCACCAATTTGTTCTACTGAATAGAAAGTGAAATCACTCATCTAAAACGAGAATCTGGTAAATATCATAAGTTTAAGTTACATTTGTAGATATGGATATCAGTGTCACAAATACAACTAAAGGGATGAAGTGGTGACTTGAGAAAATCTAACTAAACTCTTCACAATCGATATGATAAACAACTCACTCAACCCACAAATATGAGTTGATTATAAACATACAATAAGAAAAATTATGTCTATGAAGCCACGACTTAAGACAATTTCCAGGAAGACTGAATGAGCAGACATAAAGTCACCAAGTAAAAACGTCAGCCTGATGCATTTTTGTGAACCCGTAATAACGAAATCATTTATTACCATAGGACTGATAAAACTAGAAATTAGTTATACGAGATGAATATTTATTGCGCGAGTTGTGCGTTGTCAAAAAAACTACGTAAAACAAGGCTTTTGTGGGCAGTTCGAACACAGATAAACGAAGTTGCAGTTTACAAGCAAAGATTATCAATGACTATAAGATGGTGAATGCTCCACAAATCAATCCAATAGATTAAAATCAAGATTTTAGTAAGGCCACTTGGTGACATGTGGATTTCAATAGACAGTGAATAAAATGCATCCTGGGGTGACTACTTTAACGGAGCAGGTGTGCGATATAATGGGATCACTTCACTAGAAATTCGTCTCAAAAATGTATGGACTTAATAAGCAAAAGATTTGGCTGATTCCTTTATGTATAAGCGAATAGATTGTGAATAAACTACATAAGTTATGAATGTTTTCACTATTAAAAACAACACTGAGCATAACGGTAGTAAATAAAAGCGTCAAATGAAACAACTAACTCCAACTTTACAGAGATAAAAATGCACGATTTTTAACAATAGACTGTTATATACATTAACAAATTTCAGTGCAGAAAGATCAAACTGACACAAAATATTTATCAGAAGTTTACGAAACAGAATTTTTGCACTTATTTACCGGACAAACAATACATGAAAATAAGGACACCACGCATATCTCATGAAAATAAATTTTCAAGCGGGCACATGAAAACTACGAGCAGTATAAATTACATTTAGGCATTTAAACAAATAAAATTGCTACAATGCACATTACGAAACTTGAACGTCCTTTCATTCCTGTTTTTCGTTAAAGTGATCAAGTTCTAGTATTAAAAATGTATGTATCTGTAATTATCCTTAGTAAGTACTCAGCTTCAAAAGCGAAAACCGTAGGAATGGATGTGATTGACCTAATTTATCAACACTTTTTGTCGTCATTTGTTTTTCTCTAAAACTCCATTCAGCGTATATAAACACTATTTTGTTTAAAGATCCCTGTAAAAGTTGAATTTCATTATTATTGTGCACTTTTCACATGTCATACTGATTGTCGTTAGCTAAATACACGTGTTTGTATGCACACCTCGTTCTGACTTTATTGGCTGTAGTCTTCCAACTAATTACTAATAATTCCGTTGGAAATGTTTTAGCTCACATTTAAAGCATATTCCATGTCAATTGCACGTGAATAAATCGATTATATATCTGGCATTCCTTGGACTTATTTTTCCCACATTATCGGGATTGTGGTGAAGATACCACAGGTTTTAACGTATTAATTCCATATATTTGTTGGTCCGCACAGGACAGGAAGTCAATTGGCCTGTGTGAATTTTTGCGATCCGGAGGCCTGTGAAGACTCCCTCTGAATGTATCAACCAACGTCACTATAACTATGTGTCCCGCTTAAGAACCCCTGTTGTTTCCTCAATTTCCGAAATGAAATCCAGTCATCTCGAAACCTCAATGTTTCACCTACTAATAACAAATTACACAAATTGATTTATTTTAGGTCTTTATCATAGTCACTTGTTAAAGTTTACTTTCACTAACAGACTCAAACACATCTCTTTTGATTAATTGCCTATTTCTTTTCTTGGTTTTTGTCATTCCAGACACTTAAATACATTGTACTACACATTCTTCTATCATTTAATAAACCTAAAATTTACTGTCGGCTGAACGTCACACAAATGGTAGTTAGCTAGGTCGACTAATAATAAAAATATGTGGTGAAGTTTGAGCACAAACATTTCCTCATATTTGATTTCTTTGTGATGGGCCATTGTAAACATAGATATTTTTGCCCTTACTTCTCGGTCCTACGATGTGGTGCGAGGTCCTTGGAATTTTCTAACATTGATCGTCTGGACACGCGATTACACTTACCCCGGTAACATGGCAGTTATTTGGAGGTACTTTCGCCTTACGTACACATATTATGGTTTGTTCAAAGTCAGTGTAGTCACTAGAATGAGGATTTACCACGTTTCCGGGCACTCTACTCTTTCGTCTTAATTTGAAAGATTTGAAAATCAAAATAGTGGAGTACAAGCACAGGGCTGCAAAGCGAACAATATGAATGGGTGTAATAATCGAAATGACGGAAAAATAAATATAAAACTGGTGAAAAATGGCAGCTTGGTGGATACGGGTTTCTGTCTTTTCTTTGTGTATGTTATCGATTGTAGGAGAACAATACACTCCGTCAGTCGGATATTAAGTGCCTTTAGCACCTAAGTAGCACCGAATGAAATCCTGTGACGGTCGTTGTAAGACTAGTTGCATAATCGGCTTTACCAGGAAGCTGACAGTCACGGTGGAGCGTAGGGTTACTTGTTTGGACAAACAATACTTTTCAACATTCAACACAAGATAAAACGAAATATAATGACTATGCAAAATAAGGAAGTTAAAGAATGCTTAGACTCCATTTTTCATACATATACTTAGTTGTTTGAGGTCAACTCTTGAACAATCAACCTAATCTGCTACATTTGCTTCCCCCTAGAATCAACCTCGGTAGAAACGTCAGTTCAGTTAACCTAAGTTCCGTTTCCGCAGTTCAAGGGAGAATTATCAACTCGCTCACTTTTTGACTTTCAGTCAATGACGACTAACTCCGTCAACACTCAACGATAGTCCATAGACGTTTCTTTATTTACTAGCTCGTTATCTTGCTTTGCAGCATTTAATTTCTTCCACAATTATCGCTGACGGTTTGCTGCATGCACTCTGTATGGTGATCACAGACTGCAAGAGAAAAAGTGTGGGAAAATGAAACAAAAATATCTAAGGAAGTGCAGCGAGCGGGATACCCAACACCATGTTGGTGAGGTACGATTTTTTCACGCTCTGTCCGGCTATCAGGTGTTTACTCGCCTCTTGAGTCGCCCTTAAATAAAAAAATGAAGAATCTACTTCGAAATCAATGATAAAAATAAATCATAACTGAAAAACGACTCCACTGATTGCATAAAATAATAAGGTAAAAAAGGAAATATAATGCATATACAAAATCAGCAAGTGAATGAATATTTGAACTCTATTTTTTGACATATACTTGGTTGTTTGAGGTAAACTTTTAACCAATCAACCTTATTCATTACAAGTTTCCTAGCATCTTCACTTTGACAAAGCAAGGTTGTGGTCTGTACTGACTTTCGTAGTTGTATTTCCGATGGTTCCCAAATGCGTTACACTGGCAGGGTTGAGAATTGATCCGCTCATCATTGAAAGTAAAGCTTCAACTTGTACTCTAAATCTAGCCTTTTATCCATGCGAGCGTATCACAACAGTGAACAATTCACACTGAACTATTATTATTTTGATGCCTTAGGGTCATAATGACAGGTGTATCAACTTCGTCAGAAGTTGCATTAGAATGATGAGTCACGTTTTTAACATGTGAAATGCATTGAATACGACCTCACTTGTTCTGTCGTTTTCCCAAAGCTTATGGTATTTTCGAGGATTTTGTTTCGTGATGTGAATATTTGCTCTTTCGTTTATTTTTAGTGGGACACCAAAGATGTTTCGGAGCTGTGTGATTGGTGCTACGAAAACCTGGACATATCTTCCAGCTTTGTTCGAGTTGCTAAAGAAACATTTTGTCTAAAGATCATGGTTCTTCGATCATTAACAATTTATATGGTAGCTACTCTGCTTACCTTATTAGTTATGTTGTGAGGAGTGATAGGAACACCTATACCGTGTAACATATCCGATAGATGAGAGGTGCAGATACGAGATGGCAGTATTTGAAAGAGGTAAACAAGTAAAATATTCGCAAAACCAAAGCATACGAGGCGCTCAGCCTTGTTTCAGTACTTTTGATTTTTATATCAAGTGACCTCGGATGATCCCGGTAAGTGCTACAGGTGCCTTGAGTTTGCGTATGATTGTTTTAGCAGATACCAGAATTTTGATGACTTCTTATAATCTAGTTATTACTATTATTATTCACAAACACCTTATGGGTACATAAGTGTTGTGAAGTAACCATTTCGGGTTTCTTCAAAAATGCAATAATACACAGGTTTCAATAATGTTAGCATTATATTTGCCATATTTGAAAAAAGAGAGCAATAATAGTAGAATAATAATAAATCAGGTTCTGTGTGACTGAGAAGAATAGTAAATTGAGTTTAAAGAAGGAAAGAAAGAAAATAAGGGAATAGAAATAAAGGAGACGTGAAATATGCGAATAGTTTTATAAGCGTATTTATGAACACAGAACAAGAATAAACGACTATGTATGTATCTTCAAATTAGTAACAAAAATAAAATAGCTAATAATTAAAAAAACATCATTCCAGTAAGATATGACGCTAGAATAAACGCTCGTGCAGTCACAGTCTAGAGTGATGCTATGAAAGTCTCAATTAAGTGAAAAGGACAATGAAACATCAATATGTATGAGTCATATATGCACAGTGGAGATAAAACGAGTCTGAAAAGTCAATTTAGATATAATACAAGTAATTATCTTAACTACAAACTGCGTAATTTGAGGATTAATATTTATTTAGAAGGAAAAGAGAGAAACGGAGTGGACACCTAGTGAAAGGGCTCAACCATAATAATGATAGCAATCGTGTGATGAATATCGACCTCTAAAGTAGAAAATTAAAATAAAAATCCCTTAGTGCAATCGAATAAATGTACGTAGACTTATGTAATAGTATACAGAGTGAGATCGGATATTAATATAAACATTTGTGCAATAATAATTGAGATTTATGTTATGAGAGTCACGACTAATTGCAAAGGATAGTCAAATATAAATCTCTGTGTGTTATTTTTATGTGGTGATGATAAAATGAATCTGAGAAGTTAATCTATTTAGGTGTACCGTGAGATAATTTGTTTTTAGTTATAGACTTCGGATGTTTAAGTATAAAATATGTTTAGAACGAATAGAAGAGATGAGAAGAATATCTAATGTGTCGAAGGACCAATAATGATATTTATAACACTAATAATTATAAATACGAACATAAGCGGACTTCATATATTAAGATTAACAGAAAGAAAATAAAGTAAAATAGACGTGAAATGTTTCAAAGGTTACATTTTGCTTTTCAGTCAATTAGATGGATGACGGACCTTGATTTTATGAATCATTATTGAATACATTGGTATTCAACAGGTGACACAGTCCACTTTTGGAAAGAAAACCGGCCAATGTGAATAAATCCACTTTTGTCAACATCGAGTGTCCATTCATCTAACTTGTTTATTTCTTCTTGGATTACCGTTGACCCAAATAATCAGCCTTAATTTTTTTTACGGAAAGAATACGCTGAAAATCCCTTCAAGGTGTCTTAGTGAACAATGTCGTTACTTATTTGTTCTTTTGCACTGTTCTAGATTTTAACTTTTACCCAGGTATCTTATACCCACGTTTTATGTGTTGAGACTTTTGTTAGGGCGTTTGTTATCTGACAATGGTTAAAGATTTACACTTATTATCGAACGTTGTCTTTGCACGTTTTCGAACCGATAACAATTAGGTCGTGTCCGACTGAACTCAAGGTTACTGCGCAGTTTGGCTGATGGTTTTCGGGGTTTGGCCGCCTGCTAGAGACGGTTACTGAAGTCCCTGCATTTAAATATTTGATCCCTTGTCGCTAGGAATGTTCTTATTATTTTTCAGGCATCGAACATTTATTTATCAAGCACTTTTGTACTG